CAGGCACCGCGCGTCTCACGCTCCCCACCCCTGGGCTGCAGCGCCTCCAAGGCCTTGGAATCCCGGCCGCCCTACGTCTTGCAGACCTCACTCTCAGGGGGTGGGAACACCCAGGGCAAGGACAGGGGAGGAGATAGGGCCTCCGTGTCCCCGTCTTGCACTTGGGAGGACCCAGCTCTTAAGTCTTGTGTCTAAGAGATAAGAATCCAATGAAGCCCAGCTGGTGTGGCTCAGTGGTTGAGCAGCGACCTGTGAACCAGGAGGTCCTGGTTGGATTCCCCATCAGGGCACATGCCTGGGTTTCAGGCTCTTCCCCAGTGGGGGGTGTGCAGGAGGCAGCCGATCAATGATTCCCTCTCATCACTGATGTTTCTCTCTCTCCCTCTCCCTTTGGAATTTAAAAAACTGAACAAGAATCAAATGAAAATTAATCAATTGGCTTTATGGTTGCAGTTGTTAAAATCCAGAACCAGCCCCTGCAAAGAGGCAGGGTATTGAGCGCAGCCCCAGAAATGGCCTGCCCGCCAGCGAGGTGTCCCCGATGCTGACCGGAACAGAACCGGGAGCACAGTGGTCACACAGGACGTGGGGGTGAGTGCAGTGGCGCCAGTGCAGCGGGAAGAGGTGGCCTCTGAGGGACCAGCCACCTGCGCTGCTGCAGAAGCATCAGACGCGGGGGTGGGAGCTCCGCCAGGAGCCAGGGCACTCCCCGCAGGACCGCAGTGTGGGCCTTGCAGACCCGCAGCTGTCCAGGCCCGCGGATTCCAGCCCCGACCCTGGATCCTGACACACATGTGCTTCGGGGTATGAGTGGCTCAGGCGGCTTTTGAGGTCCCTCTGTGATCTGTGGCCTGTAGTACCACCTCCACAAGAATATGTCCTACCGAGAGCCATGACGTGTCCAGCTCCAAAGGTGTCAGAAATGGGAACAAGATGTCTCACCCAGGATCCCCAAGGACCCGCCACTGCCAGCATCACCAGTCAGACGCTGGGGCCCAGCAGGGCCTGTTGGAGTGAGCTCGGTGGCCAGGAGGGATTAAGACAGGACACAGCAGGTGCGATCAGGCTTCACTGGGGCTCAGCAGCTGGGCAGGGGCCATGCGGGGGAGCAGGGCCTGCACACCCCCAGGCAGTCCTGGTCTGCAGAGCAGAGGTGGGAGCTCAGGGCTGTCTGGCTCCTCCAAACGGAGCAATCACCGAAAGGACGGTCCGTCCGATTGGCTTTGTGCAGGAACAAGGGGTGCTGCAGAGCTCTAAAATCCTGGGGAGCTGGGATTGGGGGTCCTGCGTGGGGGTGAAGGAAAGAAAAGGAGAAAAGAACAAGACAGCTGGTTCCGCGGGTTCAGGGAGGTCCAGCTGCTCTCGAGTCCCGGTGTGCTCCTCGCTCCCGTGCCCTGCCCTGCACTTCCGGGCACTACTTGTTGCCCCACACGGCGATCTTCGTGTAAATAGGTGCTGGGAGGAAGCGGCTGGACTTCATGTAGGCAGCGATCTTCTCCAGGCCCTGGGGGGGTGGGGGGTGGGGAAGGGAGAGAGGCCAGACCTCAGGGTCTGCTGCCCCCCGCCCCCGGAGCTCACACAGCCCCACTCCAGACACTCCAAGTTCAGGATCCTGGCATAAGACAGTCTTCCTGGGGTCCCAGTTCCGCTGAGTTAACTCTTGCAGTTTCCTGTAACTGGTGTGATATCTTAGGCACAGTTCCCACATATGAGACCACACTGTGCTCGGGGCCTCATAGCCATTAGAGACTGTGAAACAGGTTTACAACATTCCGCACAACTGCCTACAGCAAGCATGTCAAACTCAAGGGCTAAATAAACATGGCATGCGGCCTGCAGGCTGCAAGTTTGACATTCTTAGCCTACAGGATAGGTTCTGCTCTCACCGTTTATCAGGAGGGAAACTGAGGCACACAGCGCTGAAGCCCCTGCCAAATGCTCACACAGCTGTAGGGGGGCAGGGCTGGAAGGCAGCCTGGCTCTCCCTCCCACCCTGTGCTCTGCTGCTCTCCCTTCCTCCCTTCCTCCCGCCCACACAGGAGGCCTTGGCCCTCCCCGTCTGTACAGACTGTCTCCTTTCTCACAGGGAGGCTCCCGCTTCCCAGCGGCTGCCCAGGAGGGGCCCCAGGCAGAACAACGGGCTCAGAATGTGCCTGAGCAGCTTGCAGAGCAGGCCAGGGCTCACCCATGACTCAGCAAAACGGGGGTGAAAGCTGATAGGAGGGTGTGGAGCAGCAGAGCCGGGCCCTACGAGTCCCCTCAAAGGAGAAAGTCCAGCTGCTTGGCCTGGTTCCTGAGCCCAATCTCACTGGGCCCCGACCTGCCTCATCCCTGTCCACCTGCAGCCAACCAGGCCCTGGACACACGGTGTGTGTGAGCACCATGTTCCCACGACAGAGCGTGTCCAGTAACTTCTACAGGATTCGAAGGGCCTGGGACTGCCCGTAACCAAGGCCTGGCCCCCACAGGCCGAGGCTGCAGCCCACAGCTGTGCCCCATCCCTCCCAGCCAGTCAGTCCGCCGGCTCTTGCATAATATCCAAAGCTGATGGCCCTGGACCCGAACTAGAGCCGATGGGAACTGGCTGACAAAGGAGATCTTTTGATGGGGAGGGGAAAAGGAAACAGACTGTGAGCTGAAAAGTCTGGGCCTAAGGATGCCTCAAGTTCCCACATCTGTGATAAAGCCCACTTTGTTTGTTTTTAATGTATTTGTATTGATTTCAGAGAAGAAGGGAGAGGGAGAGATAGAAACATGGACGATGAGAGAGAATCAGTGATGGGCTGCCTCCCACATACTGCCCACAGGCGACCCAGCCCACAACCTGGACATGTGCCCTGACTGTAAATCAAACCACGACCTCCAGGTTCATAGGTCAACGCTCAACCACTGTGCCACGCCGCCGGGCAAAGTGGACTTTATTGATCATCTGTGAGTTCACTAAGGTAACCAATGATGAGCTGTGAGATGAGATTTAGGCCGTGCACTTCCACCTCCTGGGTGGAACTGCAGGACCACACAGCGGGGATTCCTCCTGCACTTCCTCACTGAGACCCAGGAGGCGAGAATAAATGAACCACCTCATCTCAGAAAGTTCCTTGTGTAACTGCAGAGACGGGGAGAGGGCAGGAAAGGAAAGTGCCCACCACAGATGCCAAGGTAAAATCCTTCTGCAGCGGCAACCACACTGCAGACCCCAGCGCTGGCGACAGCCCGGAGATCTCAGCACTGCCCAGAGGGCACCCCAGGCTGCAGAGCTGTCTGGAGACAGGGAGGAAACAGTGTCTTTGGTACTTCATGTCATCCCCACCGCATCCCAGCTCTACTCATTTCCTACATACACACTCTGAAACGTCCTACCTCCTCCACAAAGTCCGGAGCTGCGACATGCAGGCTGGAGGAGGGCCTGAGCTCGCCTTCCTGGCACAGGAAAGGGGGGCCTCTGCCTGCTGCCCATGGAAGCCCCCGCTGACTGGGGGCCCCGCACCAGTGCCAGGGCTGTGACCCAGTGGACTGGCTCTGTGACCTTGAGTAAATGACTTACCCTTTCAGCCTCATTTCATGTCATTATTTGTTAAAGGGAGGTAATAAATCTTCTACCATGTAGGAATGTTCTAAAGGTTAAACTCAATATATGTAACACGCTGTGCACAGATCCTGGCATAAAGCAAGTCCTCAATGAATGCTAGTTAAGCTTCATTTTAGCTCCAGGACTAGAGAAGCATCAAGAATAAGGGGGAGCTGGGCCGGCGTGGCTCAGTGGTTGAGCATCCACCTATGAACCAGGAGGTCACAGTTCAATTCCGGGTCAGGGCACATGCCTGGGTTGTGGGCTCGATCCTCAGTGTGGGGTGTGCAGGAGGCAGCTGATCAATGATTCTCTCTCATCATTGATATTTTTCTCTCTCTCCCTCTCCCTTCGTCTATGAAATTAATAAAAATGTATTTTTAAAAAAGAATAAGAGGAGACTAAAGAGGTAACATAATAAGAGGATCAGTGGGATCACCTCTATGCGGGCGACGAAGTCTTTCAGGTTCGGGAATGCATCCAGGCACCTGGGCTCAAACGTGCGGTGCAGGTCTAGAACGTCGTAGGCCAGAAAGTCCACGTAGGTGAGCTGCAGGCAGGCACAGGGTGAATGGGCACCAAACTCTGAAATGAGGAGCGTGTCCACTCCCCCACCCCAAAGCCTTCCCCGTACCTTGTCCCCTGCAAACCAAGACTTCTTCCCCAGGAACTCTGAGAAGAGCTTCAGCTTTTCAGGGAGCACCTTCAAAAACTCGGGTTTCTGCTTCTCCTGAGGCACAAAACGGCGGTCACCACCCGCGCCAGGGACTCCCTGGGCAGAGGGCAGGCCTCCCAGGGCTGTGCCCAACTGCCACAGTGGGCAGCCATGTCCTCAGCTGCACCTGGGTCAGTGCCCAGGTTATAATTTAATCCAACCTGTGGTCATTGCACTCCTCCGGGGTACCACCTCCCGCTGGGACAGGCAGCTGGGAAGCACAGAGAGATACCAGCCTGTGCCTGACCCTGTCTCCACTCATCTCCACACCCTGCCTGGGCCAGACCCAGGCGCCGGGGAACCTGCAGAGCCTGGACCCAGACGGCAGGCAGATTGAAAGAAGCAAAGAGCTAAAATGGCCCAGGGAAGGGCATCCCAGCTGGTGGGTGACAGAAGGACCCGTGAGCACTTTCTGGACAGACGGGGAGAACCTGAGAGACTGAAAGGAAGGAGTGAGGGGCCCGCAGGCCCTGTGGGTGCCCACGCCGCCTCCTGGGAAAGTGTGCTGATGCCCAAAGGTGTCAAGGAGGCGGGGCTAACAAGCTGCACACACCGGTAGGAACTAAACCTCGACCGCGGGAGTCTGCACTCTATGCGAAGATTGAGGGGAACTGAGTCAGAGATTTCATTAGAGGCACTAGGGGTCTGAGGGTCACTCTGCTGACAGGACAGGGACCAGCGTGGAGGATCAGAAGCTCCAAGGAGTTCAATGGCCAGTAGAACCATGCAGATGTGACAAATGTGTCGAAGCTCCTATCAAAGCCTGCCCACCCCGTTCAGCAGGAGGCAACTCACGAAGTCAGGGCTGTAGCAGACCCTTGCCAGCTGATTGGCCGTGTCCATCACCTCGTTCTCCAACATGTCCACGCGGATCTTCTCCTCTTCCGTCTCCCCACCTGTTGACACAACAGGGGCTCAGCCTCAGCCTCCCACCCCACCAGCCCAGGGCCAGGGCCGCCAGTCCCCCAGCACCCACCCCAGCCCCACTCACAGAGGTTGTGCTTGCGCGCAAGGTAGCGAAGGATGGCATTGCTCTGGGTGAGCCTGTGAGCCCCGTCAATCAAGTAGGGCAGCTGTGGGGGGACAGAGGCAGGTCAGGAGGCCATGGGCCACCCTGAAGCCCCTCCCTGCATCGGGGGCAGAGATGAAACCTGGACTCAGTGTCTGTCACATGAAGGAATGAGCTGCAACACAGCCTCATGGGAAAGCAGCAACAAGAACCAGGGAGCTGGGGGCTGAGCAGAGGCCCTGGGTCCCAAAGCCTCTGTCTAAGCCGGGAAAGGAGCCTCAGAGTAGAGGCAGGTTCCCTACGCCCACCGCCCCCCACTCCCTGCACCTACATTGGGGAAGTCCAGGCCCCGCTTGAACTTCTCACTCAGCCACTGGCTTCTGTCATAGGCGGGAGCTGTGGTGGAGAAGACAGAGTGAAGGGACCACCTCCAGCCCAGCCCCCTCTCCCCGGGGCCCACCAGGGAGTCAGGGGCCCGGCCCCTGAGCAGGGGAGTCTGGAAGCTGAGCACGGAGTCTCTCTCCCGGGTTTGGGGGAAAGAACGCTGAGAAGTCCCAGGCACCCCATGGACCAGGCTTCCATGAGTGCGGGCAAACCCAGGGGGCCATGGCGGTTACTGACACAGGGGCCCAGCCGGCCCCCTCCTGCCCTGCCTGAGGCCAAGGTCCACCCTCAGAGGGTGAAGGAAGGGGCAGGGCCTGCTCCGGCCAGTGGAGGGCGACAGAGGGAAGCCACAGGTGGCCGGGCACGGGTTCTGGGGACCAAATCAGCAGGAGTTGGGCCGAAGTCCGAACGCGACGGGGATGCCATTACCGTCCCCCATCGTGTACTTCTTCTCCTCGTACTTGGAGTCTGTGTACTCCAGGAGCAGGCGGATGGCGTGAGCCAGCTGGACGGACGGAGGGACAGAGGTCAGGCCCGACTCGGGGCTCGCTCTGCTCCAACTCCAACCCCCATCCTCTCCCCCCAACACATAGACATCCCGGCGCCCGCGCCGGCGCCCTAGCCCTGGCGCTGACCCGCCAGAGGACAGGTGGTGATGTGGGGAGGGGGCTGGGCTCCAGGCAGCCCTGGGGAACCTTCAGGTGGAACCGACTCCTGCTGCTCAGCACCTCCCCGCCCGCCC